CTGTTCCTTCCAGTTATTCTGACCTTCCATGTCTCTACCCTCCTCTCCAGGCTGAGTATGCCCGCCGTGGTTTCTTCGAGGTGAAAACTCCCACACTGTTTTCCACGAAACTCTGGGAACAGTCAGGGCATTGGGAGCATTATCAGGAAGACATGTTTGCCGTGCAGCCTCCAGGCTCCAGTAGGCCTTCCAGCTCCCAGAATGATCACTCTACCAGGCATACCACAGATACACTCGCCCTCAAGCCCATGAACTGCCCTGCACACTGGTGAGCTGGGAGCTAGGATTACAATCAGGTTGCTAAATAGTAAATAATAGAAAGTACCTTGGGACAGGGTGCAGTGGCTCACGCCTGTAATCCCAGCACTTTGGGAGGCTGAGGCAGGCAGATCACCTGAGGTTGGGAGTTCAAGACCAGCCTGACCAACATGGTGAAACCCTGTCTCTACTAAAAATACACAATTAGCTGGGCATGATAGTGCATGCCTGTAATACCAACCACTTGCGAGGCTGAGGCAGGAGAACTGCTTGAACCCAGGAGGCGGTGGTTGCAGTGAGTCGAGATTGCACCACTGCACTCCAGCCTGGGCAACAAGAGGGAAACTCCATCTCAAAAAAAAGGAAAGCACTTTGGAAAGAGTACTGGGACACCTGGTTTGAGTCTAGAATCTTCCCCGTAGATAACCATGTGAATTTGGGAAACTCATTTTACCGCTTTAGGTCTCAGTCTCCTTAAAATTGCTATCTAAGGTTCCTCTTTCAGTTCAGTGACCATCACAGAACAGGGCAACAATAAATGATGTCTGTTAGTGTTTTACTGAGAAATCCACTTTCGAACCAGGCAGGGCTCAGACTATGGTGAGTGGGATTGACAGGACTCAGTGGGAGGATATGCTGAGGCTGGAGACGGCTTTAGCTGATGGTGCAGAGAAAGTAGGCAAGCAGATTGGTTTGGAGAGCAGTCTTCGGGGGCTAGTCCTCCCTATGGCCCTGACCCCTCCCCACCCCAACCTCAGCCTGATGTTCGCCCACCGGCCCAGATCCTGGCGGGAACTGCCCCTGCGACTAGCTGACTTTGGGGCCCTACACCGGGCTGAAGCCTCTGGCGGTCTGTGCGGACTGACCCGACTGCGGTGTTTCCAGCAGGATGATGCTCACATCTTCTGTACAACAGATCAGGTGGCCTTTCCCTGGCTTCACCAAAGCTTTTCTAAACCACCTTCCTTTCTCCCTATGAACCTGCACAAACCCCTGATCTTCAGTTGTCCCTGTATGTACTATAATTCAGCTACATTCTACCCCTAGCTTGCTTCTACTTCCTCTCTGTTTTTACCCTTTGTTTTCCTCAAACTGCCACTATCCCAGATTCCTAGCTGGCTCACAGCATCCCCTACCCTTATTTCCTGCCCCCAGCTGGAAGCAGAGATCCAAAGCTGTCTTGATTTCCTCCATTCCGTTTATGCTGTTCTTGGCTTCTCCTTCCACCTGGCACTGTCCACCCGGCCATCTGGCTTCCTGGGAGACCCTTGCCTTTGGGACCAGGCTGAACAGGTGAGTAGGAGGTAGAGAAATAGAGGCAGATAAACCACTCTTTAGTGAAAAGAAGTGGGGAATATAGTAACCAGGGTTCTCCAATAGAGGCACCTGATGAAGGCATCATTTGTTAGGGATTGACTGGATGTGTTCCTTTTGAAGTCTAAGATGATGTATTCCTGTCTCATTCCTTCTAAAGGTCCTTCAACAAGCCCTGAAGGAATTTGGAGAACCCTGGGACCTCAACTCTGGAGATGGTGCCTTCTATGGGCCTAAGGTAAGCTTGGAACCCTGGTCAGTGTTATATTTATTTATTTATTGCTTTGTTTCAGAATAATAGATAAAAATAAATTTTTCTTTTTATCTATTATAAAAATTAGCCTGGCTGATTTTTTTCTATTTTTAGTAGAGATTGGATTTCACCATGTTGGCCAGACTGGTCTTGAACTCCTGACCTCAGGGAATCCTCCTGCCTTGGCCTCCCAAAGTCTTGGGATTACAGGCATGAGCCACTGCGCCCGGCCACAAAGAAATATCTTTAAACTTATGTAGGATATAAAAAAAAGACCAATATATTTTCTGCCCTCTTGTCATTTGCAATCTAGTGAGGGCTGTTTAAGGTAAATAGGCCATGTCACTGCTGTGAGATCAGTGCTGTGTAGGTACTAAGAGAGCAGATTAGCAGGGGTTAGCATTACTTGGGGAGGTCACAAAAGGTTTCCATATAAATCACTTTCCAATCTGAAAGGTGAGTGTTGGCCAAGTAAAGCTGTGTTTCAGGAGGCAGCAGTGTAGGCAGAGGCTGGGGATAGGGATTAAGAACTCACATGGCAGGCCGGGCGCGGTGGCTCAAGCCTGTAATCCCAGCACTTTGGGAGGCCGAGGCGGGTGGATCACGAGGTCAAGAGATCGAGACCATCCTGGTCAACACGGTGAAACCCCGTCTCTACTAAAAATACAAAAAATTAGCTGGGCATGGTGGCGCGCGCCTGTAATCCCAGCTACTCAGGAAGCTGAGACAGGAGAATTGCCTGAACCCAGGAGGCGGAGGTTGCGGTGAGCCGAGATCGCGCCATTGCACTCCAGCCTGGGTAACGAGCGAAACTCCGTCCCAAAAAAAAAAAAAAAAAAAAAAAAAAAAACTCACAAGGCAAACCACTTTGGGAAAAAAAAAAAAAACAAATATCTAAAAAAAAAAAAAAAAAAAAAGAACTCACATGGCAGACCACTCTGGGCAACACAGGGAGACCCTGTCTCTAGCAAAAAAAAAAAAAAAAAAAAATAGCTGGACACTGTGGCTCATGCCTGTGGTCCCAGCTACCCAGCAGGCTGAGATGGGAGAATCACCCGAACCCAGGAGGTAGAGGCTGCAGTGAGCCAAGATCACGCCCCACTGCACTCCAGCCTGGGTGATAGAGTGAGACCTTGTCTCAAAAACAAAGAAGTCTGGGGAAAAAAGGACTGAAAAGTGTCCATTGGATTTAGTAAAAAGGCTGCTGGATTTTAAAGGACCATTTTCAGTAAAGTAGGGCCTGAGGGTGGAGTTAGAAGTGAATAAATGAGGCCTGTGTGGTGGCTCGTGCCTGGAATCCCAGCACTTGGGAAGGCTGAGGCAGGCAGATCACTTGAGGTCAGGAGTTCGAGACGAGCCTGGCCAACATGACGAAACCCCGTCTCTACTAAAAATACAAAAACTGGCTGGGTGAGGTGGTATACACCTGTAGTCCCAGCTACTCGGGAGCCTGAGGCAGGAGAATCGCTGAACTTGGGAGGCAGAGATTGCAGTGAGCCAAGATCATGCCACTGCATTCCAGCCTCAGTGACAGAGCAAGACAACGTCCCCAAAAATAAAAATAGGCCGGGCGCAGTGACTCATGCCTGTAATCCCAGCACTTTGGGAGGCCAAGGCAGGTAGATCACCTGAGGTTAGGGGTTCAAGACCAGCCTGACCAACATGGTGAAACCCTGTCTCTATTAAAAATACAAAAATTAGCCTATCATGGTAGTGGGTGCCTGTAATCCCAGCTACTCAAGGGGCTGAGGCAAGAGAATCGTTTGAACCCCGGAGGTGGAGGTTGCAGTGAGCCAAGATCACGCCATTGCATTCCAGCCTGGGCAACAGAGCGAGACTCTGTCTCAAAAATAAATAATAAAATGAAAAATAAAATAAATGCTATGATGAGAGGAAGCCTGCTTGGAGGGAGAAGTTGAATTTGTAAAAAAAAGTTTTAGTAAAGGGAAGTTCCTGGAGAGGTTTGAGGTGGGATTGAGAAGCCTTCATATCAGGGATCATGACTGCCATTGTATCCAGGGTGGAAGGAAAGGCTGAAGGCAAATGTAAGGACGTTTATAGGCGTGGTGACAGGAAGTTGAGACTTTTCCCATCCCATGGTATCAGTCATCTGAATTCTTCATGAGGCAGAATCAGTCAGGATCATTTGCTGAAATGAGAGTGGAGGAGAGTTGTCGGTGAGGGGACTGAAGATATGAAGAAAATGCTGGGGGTGGCCGCACACTCCTGTAATCCCAGCACTTTGGGAGGCCAAGGTGAGAGGATCACTTGAATCCAGGAGTTTGAGACCAGCCTGGGCAACATAGTAAGACCTTGTCTCTACAAAAAAAATTAAACCAAATTTAAAAATTAGCTGGGTGTGATGGTGTGTGCCTGTGGTCCCAGCTACTCAGGAGGCTGAGGTGGGAGGATCACTTGAGCCTAGGATTTTGAGGCTGCATGAGCTATCATTAAGCCACTGCACTCCAGCCTAGGTAACAGAATGAAACCCTGTCTCAAAAAACTGAATAAAAATGAAGATATGGAGAGAAAGGAAATTACTCAAAAACTGCTAAAATCTTTTTTTTTTTTTTTTTTTTTTTGAGACAGAGTCTTGCTCTGTTGCCAGGCTGGAGTGCAGCGACAGATCTCGACTCACTGCAGCCTCCATCTCCCAGGTTCAAACTATCCTCTTGCCTCAGCCTCCCAAGTAGCTGGGACTACAGGCATGTGCCACCACACCTGGCTAATTTTTGTTTTGTTTTGTTAGGTTGGGTTGTTGCCTAGGCTGGAGTAGAGTGGCACCATCTCGGCTCACCACAACCTCCACCTCCTGGGTTCAAGTGTTTCTCCTGCCTCAAACTCCTGAGTAGCTAGGATTACAGGCACCTGCTACCCAGCTAATTTTTGTATTTTTAGTAGAGACGAGGTTTTCCGCGTTGGCCAGGCTGGTCTCTAACTCCGGACCTCAGGTGATCTGCCTGCTTTGGCCTCCCAAAGTGCTGGGATTATAGGAGTGAGCCATTGTGCCTGGCCTGGCTAAAATCTTTTGAGTACTCAAAGTTGCTGTTCACTGTGCTGGGGTCTTTTATGCAGGTAACGTGTATTACTCATGTTTGTGTCCCAAGTGTCTATTCCAGCATATGGTATTTAGCTGCTTCAATAAGTAGTTAGTAAATGAAAACATTAACATTAATGAAATTGTGCCTTATGATTTATTTCAGCAATAATACTAGGCAAATAAACTATCTTTATTACTAAGAAAAACATTGAGAGAGGTTAAACAATGTGCTTAAGGTTGCAGAGATAACAGTCATAAAGTGCACAAAGTGTATTATGTTGAATCAATCTAATAAGTTGTTGACTAAGATACTGCTATGAAAAGAGAGAGCAAACAGCTGGAAAATTCATGAGAACAAAGCATAGAGCTTATGAGGGCAGCCCAAAGGATTGCTGGCAATAGCCAAGGACCAGCTGAATCTCGAAACACTGACTTCCATGGTGGCATCAATCTCTGCTTTTGCATCTGTGTGGTTTGTGACATATTGGGCAGCATTGAGCAGTTCTTTTGCAGGGCCACAGATGTAGGTACACAGGAACTAAGGAAAATGGTACAGCTTCATGGGGAAAGAAACAAAGGTGGGAGGGGCCTGAGGATGGGAAAGAAAAAGAAGAGTTAAAGAACCTGAGGGTTGAAGCGCCAGTAATTGGAGTAATTGTCATGACCAAGTGTGGTGGCTCACACCTGTAATCCCAGCACTTTGGGAGGCTGAAGTGGGCAGATCACTTGAGACCAGGTGTTTAGACTAGCCTGACCAACATGGTGAAACCCCACCTCTACTGAAAAAAAAACAACATATATACATATATATATATGTTAGCTGGGCAGCTGGGCGAGGTGGCTCACACCTGTAATCCCAGCACTTTGGGAGGCCGAGGCAGGTGGATCATAAGGTCAAGAGATCGAGACCATCCTGGCCAACATGGTGAAACCCTGTCTCTACTAAAGAATACAAAAATTAGCTGGGGGTGATGGCGTGCACCTGTTTTCCTAGCTACTAGGGAGGCTGAGGCAGGAGAATTGCTTGAACCCAGGAGGCAGAGATTGCAATGAGCCGAGATTGTGCCACTGTACTCCAGCCTGGCGCCTGGCAACAGAGCAAGACTCTGTCTCAAAAAAAAAAAAAAAAAAGTTAGCTGGGCATGGTGCCAAGTACCTGAAGTCCTAGCTACTCATGAGGCTGAGGCAGGAGATTTGCTTGAACCCGAGGGGCGTAGGCTGCAGTGAGCTGAGATCGTGCCACTGCACTTTTGCCAGGATGACAGAACAAGACTGTGTCTCAAAAAAAAAAAGAATAATTGTCAGAGCTGGCTGACCAAGAAACAGTAATCAGAGTAGTTTGATGGACTGTTTCAGAGACACAGCCATTGGGGGAGATGACAGGATACAGGGTGCAGCCATAGTTTGGGCGGTGATGAAGATCGCTGAGATGAGAAGCTCAAGGAATTGAGAGGTCAAGGTGTGGACATCTGGTAATATACCATCCATTATTAAGTGGAGCGAGCTTCTGAGAACATCTGGTAATATTATACCATCCATTATTAAGCGGAGCGAGCTGCTGAGAACTGCTGCCAGAGTGAATGGAGTAGAGTGAAGTGGAGGGGTAGCGTAGGATAGAGCTGGGTGACATGAATCTTTCAGTAGCCTAGGGTGAGCGTAGGTTAAAGGATGGGATGGCACGGATAATGGTTCTGGATAGTGCTTCTGGCTTATCTCGTGCCCTCCCATCTGTTTCCTGTAGATTGATGTGCACCTCCACGATGCCCTGGGCCGGCCACATCAGTGTGGGACAATTCAGCTTGACTTCCAACTGCCCCTGAGATTCGACCTTCAGTACAAGGGGTATAAAACCTTGCCCTATCCTCTTTTCCCTTGACAGCCCATGGAATAGGTCTATAACTCCTCCTCTGCCTTTGGCCCTAAAACTAAACCCTCCACACCCTCTCCTGCCAGAGCTGAATATTTCTTAAAAACTGGAAGGTGATCTTGGATACACAATTTGTGACACTTCCACCATTCCATCCACCCCCTTTTTTCCTTTCAAGGCAAGGGGGTGCCCTGGAGCGTCCAGTCCTCATTCACCGAGCCGTGCTTGGTTCTGTGGAAAGACTGTTGGGAGTGCTGGCAGAAAGCTGCAGGGGAAAATGGTGAGACCTCTGACCCTGGGTTTCTGTTCTGGCCCCAAACCAGAGAGTTTATGCTCCAGACCCTGCCCCCTTCATATGCCAGCCTCTTTCCTCCTCAAATCCGCTCCATATAACCACACTTCTGGCCAGACCCAGAGTGAATATTTTGTCATCCTCTGTTCTTTCCCAACCAGGCCACTGTGGCTGTCCCCGTTCCAGGTGGTGGTCATCCCTGTGGGGACTGAGCAAGAGGAGTATGCCAGGGAGGTAAGGAGTTTTGGGGTAAGGGAAGGGGCAGAAGCAGGCCCAGTAGAGAGTCTGGTGCCCGGCAGTGGGCAGGAAGAGGCTGCACAGGTGGTGGAGGAAGGAGCACAGCCCTTGGAGCCACAAGACTGGGCTGCAGTGGCTGCTGTCCTAAATGCTGGAAATCCTGTATCTCAAAAATGTGACTAATCTCTACCTTGTAGAGATGTACGAAAATTAAACAAATTAACATATTGAAAGCCAAAAGAGCACTGGGCACAAAAATGGGATTGAGTACACAGTTTTATTTTTCCTTTCTAGAGAGAATTGAGGATATGGATGGTACCAAAGTTGAGCAGCTGGTTGGGTAGGGCAGTGGCTAGGAGGCAAAGTCGAGGAAATAATTGGGAGGTTGTCTCCAGTAGGAGACAGACAGAAAAGTTGTGGGGTTGGGGATGAATGGGGAGGAGGTCTCAATGTGGAGATGAAATGAGGAGAGGTTGCTGGTGAGAAGTGGAGAGCCCCAAGGCAGAGGAAGGAGGAGCAGATGGGGAAATTGAGGGAAAGGAGCATCAGACTGTTCTAGTTCCTCAGCTTTCCAATAAATTGACTTCCTGACACCAAACCTCTGTCGCAGACACAGCAGAGCCTGCGGGCTGCAGGACTGGTCTGTGACCTGGATGCGGACTCCAGACTGACCCTCAGCCGGAGAATCCGTCGGGCCCAGCTTGCCCACTACAATTTTCAGTTTGGTAAGCTGAACCTCAGGGCGGATGTTCTCCCACCTGCCATCTGCATTCTTGCTGTTAAGTTTATCAAGTTTGGTAATATATATTTGGGTTAATTGGGGCTCATTACCTGAGCGGGTAGGAGCCAGGATTCAGGACGCCTGACTCATTTAGGCCCTGTGTTCCTTTACACTCCCCTGCCCTCCCCATAACCACTTCTGACCCTCAAAATAGTTTTCCTGTTTTTAACTCCACTCTAGCTCTTGGTGTCTGTTAGGTTAATTAACCAAGGAAGCATCAGAGAGAAAGGGATGAGAGGGCTAATACGGTCTTCATTATACTTGTTTATTCTGGACCTAGATGGAGTCAGCCCTAAGAGATGAGGAGAAAGGCCTTAGGGAGAAAATTCTGGCACTGCCCATGCTCCCTTTTTTCATTTTCCATGGTTCAGAGCTCTATCTCGAAGGCCAGGAGCAGAAACTCCTTCGCCAGATGACCTGGTTCTTGAGTTTTACGTACCCCACTTACCCCACCTGCACCCAGAGCAGGCTGTGCCGCAATCCCATGGACTTGCATATGGCCCCTTTCCCTCCCCTACTGCCCAGTCAGCCCCTGCATTCATCCTCCTCAGCAGAGTCCCCTCAGTCTGTGAATCCAGCCCTAATAGACACCAAGGGCCAGAATGGGACTGATGAGAGGAAACTGTTCTAAGGGTCAGAAATGGTTGGGGGGAGGTGGGGCAGCGTGAAGGCCACACCACTCCTGCCACCTTCCCCTTCCTCTAATAGCCCCTTCAGATATACACACACAGTTTTCTCTCTGTGGGTTTCTCAGTGTTTGTCTTTCTCTGCTTGACTCTAAATGTCTCTGACCCCGGGGCTCCTGACCAGAAGCAATAAGGCCTGCAGGGACTAAAGCATTTCCTTATCTCCTCCGGATGAGCAGGGACTGGCCATTTAGCCTTTTGCAGGCGCAGCTAAATTCGTCCTTTCTGTGAACCATTTCTGGGCTCTGCTTCCACCTTTCCTAAAGATTTAGGTATCTCAAGTTTCTGCAGAGCAAAAGAAACTATCCCATTGGATGGATTTGCCCTGAGGTTCCCAAACTGCCTTTTCCTGCAGTGATTGGCCAGAAAGAGCAAAGTAAGAGAACAGTGAACATTCGGACTCGAGATAATCGTCTCCTTGGGGAGTGGAGCTTGCCTGAGGCTGTGCAGCGGCTGGTGGAGCTACAGAACACCAGGGTCCCAAATGCCGAGGAAATTTTCTGACCCTTTGTATGCAGATGAGACAAAAACCTTCGAGAGCCATCAGCCTCCCTTCCATGGGAGGCCCCAGCCCAGCTGACAGTGTGGAGCCCCCAGAACTTCAGAACTAGGTGGAGGCATGTGTCTGCTCTCCTGAAAAGATACATGGTTTGGGGACCACACAAAGGGAGGGAAGCTGTCACTGTTTCGATGTGAGGAAAATTAAAAAAAATAATAAACTGGACTGGGCGTCGTGGCTCACACCTGTAGTCACAGCACTTTGGGAGGCTGAGGTGGGCGGATCACCAGGTCAAGAGATCAAGACCATCCTGGCTAACATGGTGAAACCTCATCTCTACTAAAAATACAGCAAAAAAATTAGCTGGTCATGGTGGCATACACCTGTAGTCCCAGCTACTCTGGAGGCTGAGGCAGGAGACCTGGGAGGCTGAAGTTGCAGTGAGCCGAGATTGTGCCATTGCACTCCAGCCTGGGCAACAGAGTGAAACTCCGTCTCAAAAATAAATAAATGAAATAAACTGGAAGCTGCTGGGCATGTGTCTTCATCTCTGACTCCAGAGAGGGGTGATAAAAGGACCTTCCACTTTGTCTCCCTCTTTCTTGTCCCAGAGAGTTAGGGAAATTGTAAAGGGACAGTCCAGACCTCGCACTGGTAGGGGAGATCCCTTGGATAGGTGTCCTGCTCCCCCCATAAACTCCTTTGTGCCCTGTTTCCCCAACCCCAGTTTGTGGGTTGGGAGATACCCTCTCCACAGAAGGCAGCATGTAGATGGAGAAACTGAGGCACAAACTGGGGGCTCAAACACCTCTTGCCCTTGATTCTCTGAATCAGTTTCTCTTGGGGTCATAAGAATGTTCTCCTCCCATCAGTCCCATTCTTCTCAATCCTCTGAGGAGGCTTCAGGGTGACTTGGAAGGAGTGGCTTCCAGAGGAGGAGCAGCTGGGACTGAGTCATGGCAGGAAGCTGAGGAGGGCGGGAGATCACACCAGACAATTATAAAAGAAGAGCTAGTCCTGAAGCTCATAGCAATAACAGCTCCCAGACAAGCTCCAGCGACCGGTCCTTCACATCTACACCTGCCTAAGAAGACCCACCTCTGGGTGTCCAGTGGTCAGTTCTTGCCCCAGGATGGGGACCACAGCCAGAGCAGCTTTGGTCTTGGCCTATTTGGCTGTCGCTTCTGCTGCCTCTGAGGGAGGTGAGTTGGAGGGTCCGCACTTGGGAAGGAGTCTGGGCTCACATAGCAGGGGTCTGGGACCAGGCATCCCAGATGGCGTATCACTAGCAGAGTGGCTCTCTGGATTCTCTTTTTCTGAGCAGGCCTAAAGTGAGCCTGGGAACTGGAGCCTTTAACCAAGGAGGCAGAGAGCAGGGGTACAGAAGGAGAGGGGTTCCTAGAAACTGCTGCCAAGAAACAGAATCCCAGTCAAATGGACAGCTGAGCAGGGGGTGGGTTCACAGAATGAGAGTCCCCTGCTGAGGAGCATGTAGGGAGGGTGCTGGTGGGGCAGGCAAAGGAGGGAAAAGGGGCCCTCAGGCTGCTCAAAACCCCGATTGCTGGCCTAGCAAGCCTTGACTGAATCCCTGTCTGATGAGAGGAGGAGTTGAGGGATATCCATCCATAGACCTACTCTGCATTCAGCATATACACATTCTTTATCTGCTTTGATGCCTAAACAAAACAGGAACTCCTCAATGCTGTGGGTGGAAACTAAGAAAAAAAAAACCACCCAGGGCACTCCAGCGGGAAGCCACTGAAAGGATGTCAGTAGATCTGTCTGCTTCCCTGTGAAGCCCCATGCCATTGTTCCTCCCAGGTCCTGGTCTTTTGTGTCTGCAGATCACCTACAGGTGATTCCCTTCCCTGTGCCTGTCCCAGTCCCCGAGGCCCTAAATTGAGACCTAAACTAAGGAGGAGCTGTCACTGGCTGAAGGGGAAGCACTCAACCTTTAGGAAGCCTCCTTTGCCAAAGTCCTAAAGATGTTTCAGGGCCCGAAAGAGAAGGGTGGGTGGAGGAGATGGGTGGGGGAGGCTCCAACGAGCTCAAGGTCCAGGCTTTTTCTTCTGAAAGCTAAAGACCATCCCAGCAGAGACTGTGGGTTAGGGAAAGACGCTGGCAGAGGAAATGAGGGCCTCCGTCCCCAATCCCGTATGGCACACTCCCTACATCCAGCCTCTGAGGCAGTAGAGGTGGAGCTATCAGAACTCCACAGGCTTTCTCAGAGCCCAGCCGGTCATGTCTAGGTATGTTTGGGCTGGTGCTTGGGCTGGGAGACAATTAGGGAACCCAGGGCAGGTGAATACAGAGGGGCGTCTCTGTCTTGGTTGTCTCCTACGCCTTTGATCTCTACAGCCTCCCTATCCCTTGCCGAGGTCCAGGGAAGGCCCTCCCAGCAGCCCCTGACTTGCCCTTCTCCCCCCAGGCTTTGAGACTGCAGAGCAGAGGCAGCTTCGGCCAGAGCACATCATGCAGCACTTTCAAGAAGGTAACAGTTTGGGGGAGCAGCATGGGACCAGGACTCCAGGAGGCTTTGTGGGCTCTGATGTCTCCCCTCTTGCCTCTAGTTGGCTACGCAGCTCCCCCCTCCCCACCCCTGTCCCGAAGCCTCCCCACGGATCACTCTGACACCTCTCAGCATGGACCTCCCTTTGAGGAACAGAAGGAAGGTAAGGTCACCCCATACCCTACCCTCCAGGTTTTTAATCTGGCCTACATCCCGCCCTTCAGATGGAAAGGAGGGAAGAGGCCCCACCCCCTCTCCCAGCCCTGGCTAGGAGAAAGGTTGCGCTGCTCACACATTCTCCCTTCTATAGTGCAGCCCCCTCCCTGTCAGGACACCACCCCTGTTCAACAGGAAGAACTGCTACCTGCCAGATTCCCTGCTGAAAAGGAAGGTGAGCGCTTGCCCACCTTCCCTCACCTTCATCCCACTGTGGGTCCTGTTGACACCAGGCTGATATCTGTTCCTTGGTGCCTTCACCCCTATCTTGCAGTGCAAGATAGTCCCCCTCTCCCTCAGGAAGCTGTGCCCCTCCAGAAAGAGGCACCCTCTCTCCAGCACCCCAGTGAACAGAAGGAAGGTAAGCAGCTCCCTCTCTTCTTTACCCACCTTTACCCATGGCCTTCCCCCAGGGCGTGGGCCTAGGGGCAGACAAGACGGGTGGGCTCTGCAGCTCACCAGTTGTGTAACCTTGGGTAAGTTACATACTTCTCCAAGCCTTTGTTTCTTCATCTGTAAAACTGAGGAAATACCTGATTTAGAAAGTTATGTGATTAAATGACAAAAATAGCATCTATTTTCACTTGCTTCTCTGCTGAGTTCTTTGTGTATGTAAACTAGCCAGGCTCTCTCTGCTAGAGATGCCCACCCCAACATGGCTTTTGCTTACTCCTTCTACACCAGTAGACCCACCTCTTCCATATCAGGAGGGGATGATCTTCCAATCCATGCCGAGAGGATGAGTGACAGCTTTAGTCTGTCATCCCCCCTGCTTTAGCGCTCAGGTCCCTGGGGGGAGGAGCAGGAAGCCTGAGCCTTGAAAAGCAGGAGAAAGTGGGGGTAGGCTGTGAGCTGACACCTTTCACACTTCACTTCTCTTTTCCTTTCAGTCATTCTAAAAGGAAGAGTCAAAAATTGTTCTTTCTCATTTCCCCCTTATCTACCCAACCCTTTCTCCACCCCAGATTCTTTCAGTCCTCCCAGCTCATCCAGCCTTTGTGGATTCCTCCACATGTCCCCCCTTCCCACTGTTTTCCCCATTCCAGGAACACCAGCTCCGTTTGGGAACCAGAATCATCCAGAACCTGAGTCCTGGAATGCAGCCCAGCACTGCCAACAGGGCCGGTCCCGAGGGGGCTGGGGCCACCGGCTGGATGGCTTCCCCCCTGGGCGGCCTTCTCCAGACAATCTGAATCAAATCTGCCTTCCTGACCGTCAGCATGTGGTATATGGCCCCTGGAACCTACCACAGTCCGGCTACTCCCACCTCTCTCGCCAGGGTGAGACCCTCAATTTCCTGGAGACTGGATATTCCCGCTGCTGCCACTGCCGCAGCCACAGAAACCGCCTAGAGTGTGCCAAACTTGTGGTAAGGTTGAATTTTTGATGCCGGGGGGTGTCCTTTAACCCCCAGGCAGTATGTGTGTTTTAAGGGTTAGAACACTAGGGTCTGGAGGAACCTCAGGTCCCATTCACTGGCCCTACTCTGAGGGTCCCCAGTGTGCCAGGGGAGCAGAGGACAGCCACTATTTCTTTTTTTATCTGCATGCCCAGGGTCCTTTCCTGGAGCCTGGGAGGAAGGCAGGAATGTGGACAGTGGGCTGATCCTCCCCTCTTGCTCTAGTGGGAGGACACAATGAGCCGATTCTGTGAGGCCGAGTTCTCGGTCAAGACCCGACCCCACTGGTGCTGCACACGGCAGGGGGAGGCTCGGTTCTCCTGCTTCCAGGAGAAAGCTCCCCAGCCACACTACCAGCTCCAGGCCTGCCCCAGCCAGCAGCCTGATATTTCCTCGGGTCTTGAGCTGCCTTTCCCCCCTGGGGAGCCCACATTGGACAATATCAAGAACATCTGCCACCTGAGGCGCTTCAGCTCTGTGCCACGTCACCTGCCAGCTACTGACCCCCTCCAAAGGCAGCTGCTGGCACTGACCCGGCTGGAGAGGGAGTTCCAGCGCTGCTGCCGCCAGGGGAGCAACCACACCTGTACATGGAAGGCCGTAAGTGGGCGTCCCAGTCTCCCTGGGAGCCTGTTTGCCTGCCTGCCCATCTTCGACCTCTGATGCTGCCGGTCCATGCATCCGTGTACCCTCTGCTGTGAGCGTGTCCACCCGTTCATCTGCTTGTGGCTCTCCGTCCGTCCATGTGTTCGTCACCTGAGTCTGTTAATCTCCAGCTTCATACTACACCTCTGGCTTCCTTCACTCATGACCCACACATGCATCCGTCCATCCGCCCAGCTCTGGCCTCACCTGACCCCCTCCATCCACTGTTCCAGCTCATCTCCCGGCGCCAGCTTAGAACCTCATCCAGGCTCCCATCCGTCCACCTTCCCAAGCCTATACCTCCACAGCTGCCTCCTAACCCTCTTAATTCTTTGCCATCCCCTTTGGGCCCCTGGGGCTGGGAGCCCCTCATCTAGTTGCCAGGGGCAATAAGGGAAGTCAGTGGTCAGGAGAGAAGGGGCCAGGTGTCCAGCTCTGACTTCCCTCTCTCTGGCCCACAGTGGGAGGATACCCTTGACAAATACTGTGACCAGGAGCATGCCATAAAGACCCACCCCCACTCGTGTTGCCACTACCCTCCCAGCCCTACTCGGGATGAGTGTTTTGCCAGTCGGGCTCCCTACCCCAACTACGACCGGGACATCTTGACCATTGACATCAGCCAAGTCACCCCCAACCTCATGGGCCACCTCTGTGGAAACCACAGAGTTCTCACCAAGCAGTAAGTCTCGCCTAGTCCTTCCCCACTCTCTTCCTTTTCCCAAAACTTCCCTTCGGGACAGCTTTAGAAAAGCAAAATCATGATATCCTAGCACCATCTGATGTCAGAAGAGGCCCCAAATCCCTGACCTCTGCCCCTTTCACACCAACATAGTAAACATATTCCTGGGCTGATCCACAACATGACTGCCCGCTGCTGTGACCTGCCATTTCCAGAACAGGCCTGCTGTGCAGAGGAGGAGGTGAGTATGCAGATTCTAGTCTCCAGAGGAATGCAGGAAGGGGAGGGAAAGAGCTAGAACTGCAGGCCACCCCTTCTCTTTGGTACCTCAAACCAGCCGTCAGATACAATGGCTAGTAGGGGAGGTATTTCTTCTTGGTTCCGGAAGTCTTCATTCTGACCTGGTCTGCTCCCATCTCTAAGTTCCTATTATGCCTTCTCTGGGCCTCAAACTTCTGGCAGTTCCAGATATACACATTTGTCAGTCACAAGAAATCCATCTATGCAAGGCAGGGTTGCATTCTCTTTGGGCCCCAGGAGGGGAACCAGGGACAGAGCAGTAGAAGCTGATGAAAAGGTGACTTTGGCCACCTGAGTATCCATATCTGTCCTTGGACCACCTACCTGCCCCATCATCTGTTTTACTTTTCTCCTTCATCAGAAATTAGCCTTCATCAATGATCTGTGTGGTCCCCGACGTAACTTCTGGCGAGACCCTGCCCTCTGCTGTGACCTGAGTCCTGGGGATGAACAGGTCAACTGCTTCAACATCAATTATTTGAGGAACGTGGCTCTAGTGTCTGGAGACACTGGGAACTCCAAGGGCCAGGGGGAGCAGGGCCCAACTGGAGGAACAAATATCAGCTCCACCTCTGAGCCCAAGGAAGAATGAGTCAGGGCCCTGGAGGGTCAGATGGGGAGAACCCCACCCTACCACACCCCCTTGAACACTCATTACAGTAAACACCTCTTGGATTTGGTATCCTCATTGTCTGTCTAATGCCTCACCCGCAGGGTTTTAAGTGGATCTTGGTGCCCTGGCCCAGGAGGGCACTGATGTGTTCAGACCACACACACAAACACACCCTCCTAAGCCTGCTTGGATTTCCTTCAGTGACTGGCGCCTGAGGCCCACTGCCCTGCCCGTTCACTGAGCAGAAATTCTACAGGCTGTGTGATGGGACCATAACTAAACAGCTTGATGTCACTTTGCCATCTTGAATTTATTCACATATTTTGAAAGGAGCACCACCTTGTTAGCCATCAGGACTCAAAGAAGATATGGTTCTCGGCCTTGGTGAGCCCCCAAAATGTCACAGCCCAGCCTATCTATCTGTCTATCTATCTATCTATACATACATACATAATTGCACTTTAGGTTCTGGGGTACATGTAAAGAACATGCAGGATTGCTGCATAGGTATGTACGAGGCAATGTGGTTTGCTGCCTCCATCCCCATCACCTATATCTGGCATTTCTCCCTATGTTATCCCTCCCCAACTTCCTACCCCTCACTGTCCCTCCCCTAGTCCCCCCACCACAGACCTCAGTCTGGGATGTTCCCCTCCCTGTGTCCATGTACAGCCTAACTTTTTTTTTTTTTCTTGAGA